GTTTCATGGGGTCTCAGAGTTTGCTATTCGGTTCTCTCACAAAATTTAGTGAGGTCAAAGGACAAGCTACTCAAATCGATATATATATATATATATATATATATATATATATATATATATAGAATCGTGTATATTGTCCGTTCAATATATATATTGTGTGTGTGTGTGTTTGTGTGTGTGCAAATATGTAGAAAAATAGAAAAGAACCATTAGGTTAATAATCTGAAGTTCTTTCGTATTTTTGTTTTTTTTTTTTTTTTTTTTTCAAAAATAGTGCTCAATACACTAGTAGAGCCTAAATTATAATTATTTTTTAATATGATTCCATTCGTTTAAAAATAGGCATCCCGACCCCACCTTGACTTAACCTTTTTTTTACAAAGTAACTAATATGTTGATACAATAGTTGTCAGTGAAAATGTAAATCCTGCCGCCCCTTATTAAGATGATTGGTTTTCTTCGTTTCATAGAAATTAATATTACGAATGTATATGCTAATTAAGCTCCATAAACTTCAAAATTTGTTATTCCAAAATTCGCTTAAGGATGAAACAGAACTAGGTACTTTAATTTAATTTAATTTCTATAATTGAATTGAAGTTTTTAGCTCCCTTTTTTGAAACATGAGAACACTTATGTAGCGACAGAATCATATTTAAAAAATAATTATAATATATATATATATATATATATATATATATATATATATATATATTATTTTACTTTACAAAGCAAGGCGGTGATGCCACGTGCGCAGGGGTTAATAGGAGTGAAAATGAAAGAGAAGTCTTAGAATAGGGAGGATTGAGGAAATGACGAAAGATGAACGGATTTCAAGAAGACAAGATGGTGATTGATGTTGCATTTAAAATTTTTGAGGATTGTAGTTATCAGGGAAGCAAGTAAACAGAAGGGAGTTCCACAGGTGGTAAGTGCGAGGAAAGAAATTATTGGAGTAGAAATGGCGGTTGCATTTAGTTATTTCAACAGCAAACGCGTGGGACTTAGATGCCAATCTAGTAGCACGCTTAAAATTCATGTAGTTGGTTCACATGAGAAAAAAAGCTCGTTAGAGCCGTTGTCATGAAAATATTTGTAGAAAATACAAAAAGAAGCCAAGTGACGTCGGTGAGAAATTGATTGAAGTCGAGATGCCTTCTTTGGATTTTGTCAAGAAATACATATATATTTATTAAATGCCCGTATAACCAATCTGAAGATGGCTCATGGGAGCCGAAAGTTTAGATCAAGGACCAGCTTAATAAAAATATATCCAAATGTTGGACAATTTCACCCATAATTAAAGCAACCATACGAAGTTTAGAACGACTCATGATCAAAACATAATAGACACTCATTGTCTGTTATATTTAACAATATATATATATATATATATATATATATATATATATATATATATATATATATATATTGTATCGTCGAGGTGAATGATACACAGAAAAAAATGAGTGCTTAATATATTTATTCAACACCAGTACCCGGCGCTAATGGTTGCATACAGAAAACACAGAACAATAAATTACAAAGCAATTAACAAGACAACTTACGAGGAATAGAAGAGGTTCAAATGCTGTATAATCAAACGAAGTAAGATCAGTACGAATATTAATCAGCTTAGTATCAAATTATTAATCAAAAAGTTGAAGTCCTTAATCGTAGACTATTTAAGGCTATAAACCAGACCATCTGATAGAGTGTGGAAGGGGGTGCTAGATACTCTACACCAATATATATAGAGATAGATAGATAGAGAGAATTAATAAAAGTAAAAGCTGATTGATTGTTACTTTCGGCATCCCGACTCTAGAGTTTCGTAGACTGGCTCTTCGGGAATCATTCCGTCCACTAGTTAGGGGTAACAGCAACTGACTGTTTATACTTGTCGTTTTTTTTCATTTTTATATAGTTTTCGTTGGCGTAATTTTTTTCAGGATGAATGTCTGCGTGCGTGTTTGCGTTCGTGCGCGTGTGCCCATGCGTCCGTCTGTGCGTACGTGATTATTTGTCATTTTCGTCGTTTTTTTTTTTGTTTGTTTTTTTGTTTCGTTTTTTTCATTTTACACTCGCTCCTTATCGTTTCTCCTTTTTTTTTTTTTTAAACCTTTCTCCTTTCTTTCAGTTGTATTTATACATAAAACCTGAGTAGAAATTCGTGGGAGGGTCTTCTTCGAATTTTATTAATTGTCTGAACACGCCATTCCCTGACACTGTATAGAAGAGGAAGTATTGTATTGCTTCATCATCTAAAATACAGTTCTCCCGATTTTATTTTACACCGATGCACCCCGGAGAAAGCAGCATGTAATCGCGGATCTGATGTGTTTGGCGCTGACAATGTTGACTCTTGAGGCAGGGAACTATTTTTGTAGTATAAATATAACGGGAGGAGATAATATCTTGATTACTGAATACAAACGGAAAGAAAAACTTTGAGCTAGACACTGTATCGTTTAATTCTATCTGCTCTGTTGTTGAAGAATGTTTCTCACCATAAGGTCGCAAAGTCAAGAATTAAACCTGCATTACTCCAATGGCCTTACTCTCTACCATCCTCATCTTTCTATCGCACTCTACATACCACCGTGACGGGGCTTCCCACTGTCTTTTCTACAAATATTTTCATGACAATTGTTCTGGTGAGCTTGCCTCTTTGGTGCCACGACTGTTGAACTTAACTGTTACTAGATTCGTAACTAGGTCCTGCCGTTTTACTGGTGAACAAGCTCGATGCAACCACCAGTTCTGCTCTAACAGTTTATTTTCTCGCACTTCTCACCTGTAAATGTCTTGATTCCCTACCACCCACAATTTTCAAAAATTTATATGCAATCGCCATCTTCTGTCTTCCCAAAACTTTTATTGTCTTTTCTCCTCATTAAAGTCTTAATATTCTCTTTCGCTCACTGTAATCTTTTACTATCATCTTGCTTGTTATCTATCTATCTATCTATCTATCTATCTATCTATCTATCTATCCTCTCCGGTCGAATTCGACGTTGAGGGTCAAGCAGATCAGTTCCCAGGAAACCGATAGCCCGACAACAGCACATGAGTATTGATTATAGTGGTGAAGGTTTCGTGCAGAACCATCCACACTTTTGAAGTGCCGAATACAGAGACCTGGTGCACTACGTGCCACAAGGTCCCCAAACAACCCTCCGCAGGTTTTGAATTCTATTTAATTTAAATTATTATTTTTTTTAATTATAATATTAATACTGAATATTCAAGTGAGTTTTGTCCTACCAGTTTGCCAACGTTCCTTTTTGAAAAAGTGTTGGCCGAAAAGGTGCCTTAAAAAGTATAATGACTTCCAAATTGTTTAAATATATATATATATATATATATATATATATATATAGAGAGAGAGAGAGAGAGAAAGAGAGAAAGAGAGAGTGAGTGAGTGAGAGTATCTACCCGATCAAGTTATATTCTTTTGCGAGGATACATTAATAAAACATTCTCAATATATCGGAAGTATGGTGATCATTTAGATAAAAATATTTTGTAAGGGATTAGATTTAAGAAATTCCTCAGAACAGACAAGCTAAAACCCCCGTTAAGAAGTGACGCAATCAAGTTTTAATTTCTATTCTTAGAATTTTTTGAATCTGGCCCTTTCCAAAATATTCAAACCGATACTACACACTGATCCCAGCTCATTGGTCAGGAAGTGAAGAATAACGTCATACGAGTGACACTGGTTACTCGGTCAGTGTTTGTACATAATGAAACGGCTAATATTACCATTAGAAAGGAGAACAAATACTACATTTTGATCCCAGCCCGATGGCCAAACAGTGAAGTGGAACTGGCTACTCGCTAAATGAATGGTAAATGTTTCCACATAATGAAACGGCTGGTATTACAAATACCATTTACCATTTCACACTGAATATGCGTTGTAGGCAGCGGAGATGGAAGCATTGTCTATCGCAAGTCGTCCAAGATCCACTCCCATGCTGATTATACATGCTTGGTAGATCTTGGATTTGGTGTTCAGAGTAAGCTAATTGTTTTGCTACACTCCTTTGCTTAGTCTGATTAATACAGTTACAATTTTGTTGAATACAAGTATTAAAGAATATCAGAGCTAATGTTAAAGCCAAAAGAGTTCTTTTATCCCAAATTTCTTCAAATCGAAATTTCAGTTTTTGCAAATATAATAATATATAACAACATTTGTTATTAGAGCAAAAATCATTCAAGCATATTCGGGGCCTGGGCATTGTCGAATGAATTGTTTGAATGTTTGTCTGTCTGTTTGTCGGGATGCGGTGGCAAGCATTCAAGTATTGGTAATTCAATCCATTCTGTACATATTTTTATATCCTTTTTCCATTCTTGAATTCCTCCGAGAGGAGAACTGATTTGTTGAATCGAATATCTGAAATTCCTTCCTCAACGTTGCACACGAAATTGTACAGTGTTTCACGTAGGCCTAATAATATTTGGTACTTGAAAAAGAAAACAATGAATAAACAAAACAATATATAAATAAGAAAAAAAAAAAAGATTAAAAAAATGGAAATAAAAGAAGACCTCTCTCTGGAACGATTTATTGAGAGCTATTTAAAAATTGTAGCGTTTCGCGTCGTTCGAATAATATTTTGTACTTAAAAAAGAAATTGTAAGCAAAAAAGAAAAGAAAAAGGCTATTCTCTAGAACGATTTACCGCTAGTTATTCAAGAACCAAGCAATGTCTGCCTGCATAATGGTGTGTGCGTGTCTGCATCTTCAGGTGGGCCTCTAAACCACTTTTCGATCTTTGCTATACATTATTCATGCTTTCTTTTACAACGAGTTGGCACAATGACACCAACGGTCGAAAACTAAGTAGAGAGCACTCAAAGAGCACATACCTCTGCCAACGACAGTGTTACTGAAAAAAATGAACGAAAATCATTTAATTTTCTTTTCTTTCTTCTTTTTACTAATATTCACCGAATAAAAGGCCCATGAGCTACTCAAGGTAGAA